GTTGAAACAAATAATGTTCACCTCCATGTAAGTCAATCTTTTCTTATAACATTTTGTATATTCTCACATGTCTTTACTTCTATTAATTTCTAAAATATGGCTGAAGATGGACTTTTATAAGTTCGAAACATGTCCCGTTGAATAACTACATCAATATCAAAGTTGTGGAAATGACTTTGAGCTTTCCTTCCTCCTTTAAAAATTCCACTCCACTTTGAGCAAACATGGACTTCTACCAGAGATTACACACTCTATATATTTATCTGTCTTTTTGCCAATGAAGAATTTTATATGCAGGAAGTTTGATGCAGGAGAGCTGATGTATATCGGGATATTCACCCCTCGTTCGGCTGTCTTTATAACAGAGAAGCAGACAGCGTGAACTGGCTGAAAGTTAGACAGTCAACGATCCTTCCATTATTTCCGTTATCTTTTCGATGATTGCTGCCGAGTTTCAGTTTGAGTTCGTCAGACCTAGATGAAATTGTTGAAATCCACACCATGTTACGGAACTTTTGGTTTATTTCCATTCAGAAGTTGAATTGAAATGATGGTGCGATGATTATTTCACTTGTGATATTACTTACAGGGTATTTCAAACACCACACCAAACACTATGGCCTTCGCCACCGAGAATTAGCTGGAGATTTACTTATTCTCTGTGTCACCCATATATTATGGCAAGCCTCATTAGAAAAACATAAGGAATATCTAGCTGTGACATTAGACACATCGAAAGCATTCGACCGTGGTTGACACCAAGGACTCCTTCAGAAATAACATCATATACGGCTTACCACCTCAGCTATGCCATCTTTCATCAAGTTTTCTCTCAGGCACCAACATTGTTTCCTCTTGATATCAATGATCTGTTGGGAGAAACCACTCGCCCTATCCACATCTTTGCAGACAATGGTACTCTTTATACTGCGTTCTCTTCTAGAATTTCCATTTCTTCTAAGAAAACTGAGAACTTACGACGTAGGCAGGTCAATGCTGTCAATGACAATCTAGCTGAAATTACAGCCTGGGGGACCAACAACCTTGGTGAATTCAACGCCACCAAACCCAAGCCTATATTTTCTCTTGAAGGGCGGAACTCAGTATGCCTAATATAACAATGTCTATCACCCACATTCCCACCAAGACTACTATTTCTATACTCGTTATTTCCATCAGCAATACTCTTCCATATGAAAATCATGTCCGATTAATAGCAAAAGTTACTTCACAAAAACTAGTATTTTCATTCCGTGCGAAAATATACTTTACACCTCAACAGCTTCTCATTATCTACAAAATACAGATACTGGTTTCAGAATGCTGTTCTCACCTACAGGGTTCAGCACCCAAACATACTCTGACGATTAGAGAAGAGCCAGCGCCTGTTGGGTGATGCCACATCACTTAATAATCCTCATTAGAACACCGTAGAAAAGTCGACGACCTTCCACTTTTATTTCTATAGAAAAGTTCCTCAGTAATCTCTGCTATCATTTCATCACTAGCAGTACCAGTCAGACGAACTCGGCAGGTCCAGTCAGCACATCCTCTCGTTGTCAACCTCGTCTATAAAACGGCAAAGCTTTGGAACGCTTTGCCAATGAAGAAATTTGTTTCGTACGCCCCAAGTGAAGTAAAAAAGACTCGTCCATTTTTGTTCTTGGGGATGCATTGTTGACAGTGAAGCCAACTCGATGTGTTCATCCCCCTAAGCCCAAGCCACTCATATTTTGAACTTTCGAATGAAACTACGCTTTTTTCAACATTTCATAACCCTTTCCATTGCGAATATTCCGATCCTTCTTTCTCGAAAATCGGTCGAAATTTGAGAGAATTATTGAATAAAATCAATAGTTGATAATGTAATCGAAAAACCGACATTCACGTTATGATATTGATCAACCATCTCTTTAGATCGTTTTTTATTAAAGGAAATCTCAATGGGAATCTAATCAGAATTGTTGAAGACATTATTGACCCGAACAAGATAACAGGAATTCTTGAAACTGACGATAATGTGATAAAAAACGAAATAAATTCCCAACACAATTGCTCCCCTCCCCCCACCATTATGATGTTGCTGTGTGACAATTTTTCCATGATCATTTTCTAGGTGATTGAATTGGTAGAAGATAGAAACACTATAGACGTGTTGTGTTAGAGAATTATGGAAGAATGCCAATTAATAACACCAGAACTGATGTCCGAAAAGAATTCGAAAACATATTATATCATTGTTCGCAAGTCAATAAAGATCATTTTGAACAGCACGTTGAATAGAACTTTCGTTTTCTTCAGCTTATCCAATTTAAGATTGCTTTTGGGTGTATGATAAATTGACATTCATCATACAAGGCGTGGAAAGGAATTCTGAATTGAGACTCTATCACGAATCTGCGATTAGAGGTCTATAAAAATCACAGGTTTCCATCGTTCAAGTTGGAACCCCCTGATTGGGTATGGAAGTGTTGAAAAGTAATATCCTCAAATAAATTATGAACAAACAAAAATGGATATACAGTGTGTCCCACTTACCATGCTCACCATGGGTATCTTTTTAACGGTGAGAGATACGAGGTCGGTTAAATGACACCAAATGTGGAGTTTGTCAACGCCAACTATAATGTGAAAAAATATTTTGATAAAATCTATTTGTTTTTGTTTTATACGCAAAAAACAGATTTTGATCATTCTCATCTATCCTCCATAACTTCTTTATTTATGAAAATATTCAAATAGGAATTCCACATTCTCATGGCAGTTTTTCAAAGTGATTTCGAAAAAAATATGAAATTTATACCAACTCTTCTAGGATTTGAGATATCAGCACCAATTTTAGTTTTTCAAATGTAGGTCATAGCTCACTATGACATAGTTACAAATAAGTTTTTTTTCTCCTACAGATGATATGTCGCAGTAATAGTTTTGTGTTGATAACAACGGAGTTATCGTCATTTATACAAAAACAAATAATCATTTGGAAGCCGCCATCTTGAATTTATAAATTTTGACAAAAAAATCATGATCTCCGACCTCTAAAACCCCCACTCACCAATTTTGAATGGAATCGGACCAAATCTTGTCCGATATCTTGGAAAACAACTACTTTCCTGGCTATATGCCACGACGAACATTGAATTTTATCTAATGAACACACACGATAAGAGTTTGAAAATAAAATACAAAATCTTCTGAAATTGAGAATTTGCATTCTCCTTCAGACAAAAATATGTATATGCACACATCATTCTGAATATTCAACAGAAAACAACTACTTTCCTGGCTATTTGCCACGTCGAACATTGAATTATATCTGATGAACATCCAAATGGAGAACTTGAAAAATAAAAAATAAAAAATAAAATCCTCCGAAATTGGGAATTGACATTCTTTCTCGAATCGGATGAATAATATGATGTATAATGATATAGAAATATAACTTACAATATATTCAGCATTGAAATGAAAATTGGAATGTATAGGAGAAGTATACTGGCATAAACTCTGATCTTGATGGGCTTGAAAACTTCCAAAAATAATCATTCATATCAGTGATATGGGAAATATTATCTCTCACACACAGGTTATATGACTTTATTGCAATGAAACCATTTCGGATTTCTGAATCCTCATCAATAACCATGATGTCCACTTTTGATGGATCCGTGGGCACTGTAGGGTGGAGGGTAAGAAAACCAAAGAGACACGTAAATCTGTGTTTATAAGAGCGGAACGTTTTCTTGAGCAAGTGCTGCTAAACCAATTATATGAAATTAGGTTGAGGAGAAAAGACTTATGTAGCTCTGATTCGGGAGGACTGGCATTTCTACCATCAAAACTCTCAATCATGGTAACTGAGCAAATTCCAAATTGAACTACATATCTTCGCATTCTCAGGACTGTTCACTATTGACTAAGACACCGGCACCTGCACCATTGATGCATATACTTTCCTTCATGTCAGTTCCTGTTTCAAGTCGAATCCCTCCCGATGTATGAAATCCATCAGGATCCTTTGTGAGCTCATTGTTGTCTATCTTAATTCCGATGGGGATTCATCAATGATCGATATATACTTCTTCATCTTGTGATTTACTGGAAAACTTCTCCAGCTATTCCCCAATCCCTGATCATTCAGAGACAGCCACGCTCGTCAATCTTCATCAAAAGTAACGGTATGATATATAGCAAAATGAAAGCAATAAACAATGTAAGTATCGATCGATGTAAGAACAATCAATTGAGGGTAAGGAAAGATAACAACAGCAATAGCTTGTGTTCATTGTTCTGAACAATGAGTATATCATCCGATCCGTACTGACGAAATCAGTTTGTATACTCGTGCATTACGGATCCCTCGGGTGTATTTATGCTCCAACTCTGATCCACTCTCATTCTTTCTACATACATTGTTATAATGTAAAAGTAGTATAATTAAACTAATTCGTTGGCATGAATCCAAGATAGCCCTTCGGAATCCTACGACTGAGATCTACGACCTTTCAGGTGAATAGAAACGATTCGAAAAGAATCACGACCATAAACTGAAGGTTTTGGAGTCTGGATCATATCTAGGCAATTTATCAGGCAATTGAAAAGATAAAGTGGACACTCTCGAAAAGACAGGAATTTACGAAATCCGTTCAAGTGATTGTGGAAAAAGATATATAGGCCAAACTAAGCAACTTATGAAAACAAGGATCAGAGAACACTCCACTCATTCGAAATATGGTAAATTGAATGAATCTACACATCAATAACGTCAAATTGTACAACCAAGTCAATGATGTCTTTTTTTCTGGTTCCCACGAAAAGGGATATCCTGTAATGAAAGCCTGATAATAGTTACTAGCATTCTAGCGAAACAGTATATGTCATGAACAAATTTGGTTTACTCGACGATTTTCAAATGTTCATTGACTCCTTTACTAATTATCCTGCTACTTTTTCCAATCTAATGAGCATATCATTTTGAAACATATATTTCCTTTTTTCAGGTGTCTACCATGTCCCGAAGGATGCGAAGACTGTGGCCCATTTGGCATCTGCAACATCCAGAAGGATGTCTACCTGACGACCGCCATCTTGTGTATTCAACTCGCTTGCATGGCCGCCGTCGTAGTCATGTCGCTGATCGTCTTCAAACAACGTAAAACCAAAGTAAGTAACTCAATTATAGGTATCATTGGCGCAATTAACTGAAGTGGTCTCCTATGTTTAATAGAGTTAAAGAGCGGAATATCATTTTGGAAAGTGAATAGCAGCTCAACATAAGTATACCTACTCCAAATTACTATAGGTGTGCCTATCAAAAACCCTCAAACTGCTTTGTTACCGATAGCTAACTTTCGAATGGCTAGGATTTTTATCTAATTTTTGTTACTCCATTTGTATCTTTCAAAATAGCGTATGTCCACCATTCAGGAAGATTTTTTTTTATGGAATGGGGCGTCGAGTGATAACTCTTTTGAATAGTCTTTCAATACTCTATACATCAGAATTTCAGGAAACATTCATTCTAAATGAAATGGCGGATTATATTGGTTGAATTCTCATACCAGGATCCGTTCAACTAGATGGTTATTGATGTGTTCTCGTTTCTCGTGTATACTAAATATAGAAACATCATGACGCCATTTTGAAAAATACATATATCATTATCAGAATCAGAATGTAGCACTCGATCTACCATGATGATATCATCATCCCCTTGGAGCCACAAAAAGAAAAAATCCCAGCCATTCCATAGTTGCCGTTGCTATGTTTCCAAATACATATGTCCTATATGTAACGATTGAGCGAAGCGTCTGTATAGTGAACCCCACATTATAATTCACCACCATCAGTTCAGTCACTATCACTTTATGTATTTTTGCACGGAAAAAAACTTTAATAACAGCTAGTGAAATTTGCATACTACCAAGTAAAAATTTGCATACTATATGGGACAAGTACTCGCCTCATCAGCCACAAAAAAAATGATATTTCTGAATCTGATCACTTGTTGTTATTAATGTGATTTCAGGAACACATGTAACCTACTGATATTAAACGCTTTATATTAGGGACAGAATATTTGTTTTATTGGCCTAAGTGTACATTTTACTTGCAGTTATACAACGAAATCATTGGATAGGTGGTCAGTTCGATAAGTAAAGGTGACTTGTTTCACTTGGCCTCATAGAATACCTCACTTGTGGGTAGTGTACTTTTCACTTGGAGTTATGCAACGACATTATTGGCTAGGTGCTTATTTTAATAACTACAATTATCTTGATTCACTTGGCCTCATCTGTTATGACTCACTTGTGGGTAGTTCATCATGTCTCACCTTGGATAGCTTTCATCCCATCTTTGTTATCGGGATACACCAGACTCAGTCGAACTTTCTTCCTGTCTTCACTCCTAATTCACTTGGCATCATTCAAACAAGGATCATTTGATTCATTTGTAATGTATCATGCCTGCTTATTTTCTTACAATACATTTTTATTTCACAAATGAACAGTTTTATTTAAGAACTCATCACTATGAATAACGTCATTTCTACACAATGATAATTTTTTAAGTAAATAACAGATCGATAAAAAGTAAAACAGCACTATTGGTTGTCTATAACTCTCGGCCGCCCCCAAAAGGGATTCTGAATGGCACCTTCTATACCTCTCGTGGTGATGAGTCATACTTACTCAGCATATAATATAATGAATACAACACCAAAAATCATTTTTCGATTTACCACGTGCACCAAATCCTCAAACTGAACATACTCTCACGAAGTCACGACGAAACTGACGCTAGTGACGCTGATGGATTCTGATCAATTCGGATATACAACACGAGAGGTCGACGATAATTCCCGATTACTGGGCAGGTGAACATGTTGTATTACCGTTGGTATATTGGGTTGTACCGCAGATAAACAATTGTATTGTGCTTGTAACACGAGTTTCTGTAGATATTATTTCCTTTTCAGAAACTCGAAGTTAATAAAGTCTAAAATACACTTCACCAGAGCTTATAAAATGTTTTCCTGTGGCTATACAAAGTGAATTATCTAAGATGAAAACTATTTGCTATAGGTGGATGAAATTATAGCTACAAGTTCATGCGTTCAGAATTATCATTTTACTAGAGGCTGAATAAAATTGTTTCTGGAATAGGTATTATTTTTCTTATCCCGATACAAAACAAGTCAGGAAAACATTTTACTTGGACCATTTTTTTCCGTGATGATATCAGATGATGGAAACCCATGAAACTCATTACTTGAAAGTTGCATAGAATGAAAAAACGTTGCAAAAAATCTGCCATCACTGTCGAGTCTATTAGCACAGCTAAAGAGGATATGTCGAAGAAAGAACTCATTTATCAGTTTGATTTCTTCTTACAGGCCATCGCAACTGGTATGTGGACCATCTTGGAAACAATTCTTATAGGAATTTTCATCTTGTATACAACAGTGAGTATATTCGTGTATATAATTCATTACGTGCTTCTATGTGTCTTGCGTAGCTTAAACAATTTATACATGGCGTGATGCACCCTTCGTCTTTGAATAAGTTCATGTGAAAATTCAAATTATTTCATTCTCTTCGGTTCGTATTGCTTCGTATTGATGTTTCAGCACATAAGGACCTCGCACTTTTCATATGGGTGTGGGTGAAATGTATGAACTTTCTCTATGTTGTAGTATTCAATAAATTGATTGGACGTGTAAAAACTCAGAATTCTTCAATGGGAACATTTCTATATACAGGGTGTTGAAATAACAAATTGGTGAATATTACTTAACTATCTTATCATAATTTGATGTTGTCAGGTGCATTTTTTCGTTCACCTATAATTTCATTGACACAAGGTTTTGTATTACTGAATATTGTTCAGATAATTAATATTGTTATCTATGAATATATTCTCGTACTTTCGCAGTTACCCCTGAACTATTGGTGCCTATTTAAATACTACCTCTCGCAAACCATTAAACGAAGCAAACCCCTTATAAATCGATGTGGGTGAAATATCATTCCTATGTCGTGACATAGTGAAATCTTTACCTCTTTGTTGTGTCATGGGGAAAACACCACTATATCGAGACAATATTGTCTTCATTCGAGTAGGAACCTGTTACTCAAAGTATTTTCCTACTAACATATCTTCGACAGATTTCTGGAAGTGTTCCGAATCATTGATTAAAGCTATATAATCTGGTAAATGATTGTAAATCTGTTTAGTCCAATAAATTAGGGATTGTCTCGTTGAAGATGAATCAGGCAGAGGAAGAGCAAGGTTTCTTTTATTACGCGTAATCTTGTCTATGTTTGTGTTCATGAAATGTCCCTTATATTTGTGAATATATTGGCTATTGGTGAAAAAAATATTCACATTTTCAGTAAAGAATATCATTACCACGGGACCATTTATCCCCCTGCTGGCGCCCTGGAATATAATCTTGATTCCTGGGTAATAATGATATTCTTTAAATTAGAAGTGAAAAAATTTAAAATGAATAATCAAGAAAATAATAAGAGACAATAAGTAGGTACTCTTTTACACGTAGCGGAACTCTATGATTTGAAAATTTCAACTTTGTTGACTGATGGGTGGTTGTCATATTGCTGTTGACATCGAAAAGTGATGTGCCTTGAATGCGTTGTTATGGCATCTGAGGAAAAAATCAATCCCTAAAGTGTGTAAAAAATATTCTGATACCTTGTTATAATTGAATGAGAGTATATGACTTGTTTGTGAGTGTTAAGAGTTAACCTCTCTACAATTCGACATTATTTAGGGAGAAACACAAACTTGCAATCAGAATTCGTTTATAAGATACGTTTCATAGATTTCGGATGGATGTAATTCAATTTTCTGCTTGGTATTTACTAGGCAAGTTAATGTTTACCTCACGTCATCTTCTATCATTGTGGTTGTTTATTTTATTGAACACTTGTGCCAATCACTTTGAGCACTATTTCGTAGTTGCTTATGAAAAAGTTACGAAATACCATTCGAGAAACGACAATTCTCTAGGCAAGGATGCATCAACCATTCGAAAACTCATGGAGATATATTTTCAAGAGATCGTCAGATAATATCACGTTTATTGAACGATTAGAATGAAAGTTTAGAACTAAAAATGTATTCCAACGTTGAATTTTTGAACCATAAACGTTTATTCAATCAGTTTTATACTTAAATATGACGTTGAAAAAACTTTCGTGTGCCGATCGGGATAGTCATAAATCCTATGTCCCCTTCTTTACGACAATGATCCCGACAGATTACTCATTCATCAACACATTTCTCATCACAATTTTGCCTCGTTATGTAGAAACCCAAAACTTTTCTAGTCGCCGGAGCGAATCTGGACTTTAATGGGAAAACTTTCGAGGGTGGACAACTTCTGGTGTTTGAGTTGGCCCCGGCGGAGTTATACAAGAGGTCCTCGGTGTCCACGTGATTCCGTTCTTGATTGGCATTGCATGAACTGAATATATGGATTCGAGTATTTAAATCGAATTCTGCTGTTGAATTGCCTGTAGTTCATTACTCGAATCGATTTGCCCCCCTTTTCGTTGTGATGTGTAGGGCACATATCTGCATATTCTTGTAAGGGTTTTATTGATATAGTCGTATTGGTAGCCATCATCGTTTTCTTGAGGTAACGGTATAAGTGACGACGGAAGATCATTTAGAGATTTACTTGCCTACGTCCCCCAAATATGGTAAGCTTCATTAGAAAAACATGGAGAATCTTTAGCTGTAGGGTTCGATAAATCTAATTCATTCTACCATGTTTGGCTTGGCACCAAGGACTCCTCCACAAACTACCATCATACGGATAACCACCTCAGCAATGCCATCTTTCATAGAGTTTTCTTTCAAGCAGCTCGTTCCATGTGGTGGTGAACGGAGTGTCGTCTGATACCATGCATTGCCATCAATTCTGGCATTCAACAATAATCAATGTTTGCACCAACTTTATATCAATGATCTGTTGTGAGTAGATTGCCTCGAACATCTCATTTCACGCCCTGTAAAGAATGTGGACACGCTTGTCATCGCTGACATATCCGAATAATTATTGTCATCATTCTCAGATTTGAAACGTAAGTTCTGAAAATTTGATTGGCGTACCCGCAAGAATGTTTTCGAAACTATTTTGTTCGAGGTTGACAGGACAGCGCACTTGGGTGGAAGAATCAGGCTATATTCCGAATTTAACTGACAGTACTGAATCTGCTGATTTTTCATTCAGATTTTTGTGGAGACTCAAATTTCGCTTTTGCAAAGTTTTTATCGATTTTTCACGAATTATGAAGAATAGAGCTGACCGGTCTTTACACCGGGACCTTCAATTCCGAAAATTCTAAATATGATGGTTAACATTCATTTGAGTTGCCCAAAGACGAGTTGACATTTCAAGTGTTCCGTCTCAATATTCATTCCATGGAAATACATTCATTAACATAATATTGAAATAACTACAACATAAAGAGCATTATGTGCCTTTGGTGTCACGCCAATGTAGAAATAAAAATATGTCGGCACTCGTTCAATGAAGGAGTACAGAAAAATGATATTCCATCTCTTATAAAACATATTCGTGTCTCATGGTTCTTGTTCAGCTATTTGACAATATGACAAATGTGTCTACACTCTTCAAAGATCATAAAATGATGTGTTCGAGGCACTCTAGTCGTGAGTAACCACCAGCCCTATCTACAGTTTTGCAGATGATAGTACTCTCCATAGAACAACCTAGTTGAAATCAACGCCAACAAAACTAACCTTGGAGCCATTTTGAAAGATTTCCTTAATGGACCCGGGGATCTCATTCGAAAGGTCTTCTTATTCGACACCAGAATTTCAGACGTAACTATCCATCCTAAACAAACTGGCGAATGGTATTACTCGAAATATCATATCAGTATCCTTTGGACTACAAGATAACTATTAACGTGCTCTCGTTTAATCTCCAACTCCCTATTGGCATCTAGAAAAAGCGTTTTTTATCCAGAAATTAAGTTGAAGATTGAACATGAACATCCTTGATATGAACATCATTATTTCATGTTTTATTGCAGGTAGTTGTTAAATCATTCGAGCCATCAACAGTCCAGTGTCTTTTGGAGCCGTGGTTCAGGGAAGTCGGCTTCGTCATCTGCTACGGTGCCATCATCCTCAAACTGTACCGTCATCTGATCGAATTCCGCACAAGAAAAGCGCACAGATGGGTCGTCAAAGATACCGATCTACTCAAATATCTCCTCATCATGACTATGTCGGTAAGTTGACAGTTGACCTTGCACAATTCACTCATGGTGTCATGTTAGATGAAACCCTGTCATTTAAAGAACACTTCAACATGATAAAAAATAAGATATCAAAAAAACGAATCTTCTTTTCAAGAATAGCATCAGGGTTGCCCATACAAACTAAAATAACAGTGTACAATACTATTATCCGGCCACATTTCGATTACTGCGCTACAATACTGTATTTATTAAATAATAACTCTCGGTCATCGTTTCAGAAACTTCCAAACAGAGGTATGCGAATAATTTTGAAATGTAACAAGCGTACCTCTATTCGTAACATGGTTGGAAACATTACAATGGCAACCTGTAAATGAAGGACTGGCAACTTTCGCATTGATTTTTATCTTCAAACTATTGAAGGGTTCATTGCCGGATTATCTAGATCAGTTTGTTCGAAATTCATGATTACCAAACAAGATCTCGTAATGAATTTCATCTAAGCAGAATGCTTACCAATAGGGGTATGTTTTATGAAGGACTGAAAGAATATAATTCTCTCCTTCAAAACATAAAAGAATGTGAGACTGTTAGAAACTTCAACAAAATTTATTAAGGAGTACCTGAGACGAAGAGACTTGCTATGATGAAAGAACAAAAAGTTAGTATTTATTTTTCTTTATTATTTAATCAAGCAACTGTTAGTGTTATGCTGTGTGTTGTTATGCTATTGGAACTGTTAATATTAGGATGTATTCTGTATTGAATAAATTCTATTCTATTCTATTCCATAATCTCAAATGTCTTCATCATAGGAAGTCTGATGACGATGGATCAGGAGATCTAGCAGTTCATTCTATTGGCCCCGGTGTTCGCCTCTCAATCCATCTCCCTGTGGAATTGTCATATGAAAATTGGAGTACATATGCTACAAAATGTGGAGTAGCTTATTGATCTTGTTGAAATGCGATCTAACCTTCAATTAGATTATCATCGTCTTCGAGTAGTTGAGTGATTCTGAGGTTCACAGTTGTATCAAGATGTTCAAGATACGTTTGTCTGTTGAGGTTACCATCAATAACATATAGACCTACATTATGGTCTCCCAGAATCACAGCCCGAACATTGATTTTCTGGGGACTTGTGAATGAGTTTCAATAAACCAATAACTAATAACGTCACTCCAGTAACTGTAGTTGTGCCTTTTCACATGTCCAAATGAAAAGAAACTTCGACAGAATAGCACACATTGTAGAGGTGATTATTTTCACTAAAATCAATAACTCATATTTCCTCACAAAACTCTGTACATCTGTCATGATTTTCTTCATTTGATTCTTTCGCATTATAGACGATGAGTCATTGAAATGGGAAAGTGAGATAACGGCTTCGCTGTTTGAGTTAAATGAATAAAAATGTTTGTGATGGTCTAGGCTCATGAGCAGCATATTTCTAAATTTCTTCGCGAATACAGGGTGACTCAAATATGCGTGGCGTATCGATATACTCCTTATTATAGGACACCCTGTATTTTATTGAATTTTTGGATTCTCTTTTGTGAGCTGATTCCATCAATACATCACACTCGGGATCTAGCGGAAATGATTACATCAGAGATATAGGGTGTTCAAAATCGAGATTATTCAATTCTTTTTTGTGTCCAAACTATTAATTATTGGTCAGAACGGCTCATGCACATGTCCCCATTCTAACTTTTGAGTCACTATCTACTGATATTTGATTTAGACGAATACAGGGTAGTTCAAAATTCAGAATCATGAACCACCCTGTATTCGTTCAAATTAAATATCAGTAGATAGTAAATCACTAGTGATGATAAGGACATGAAAGCCGTTTTGACCAATAATGAATAGTTTCGAGACGAAAAAATCGTATAGTTGGAAAATCTCAATTTTGAACACCCAATAGAAGAGAGAAGAGAATTCGAAAATGCAATGAAATACAGGGTGTCCCATAAGAAAAAGTATAACTTTGATATGTCACGCAATTTTGAGTCACCCAGTATAACCCGGAAATATCTTGGAAATGTGCTGCTCATAAGTCTTGACCATCACAAGAATTTTTGTTCATCTATTTCAAACAGCGAAGCCGTTATCTCACTTTCCCATTTCAATGACTCACCCTGTATATAGATGGAATTTTGCTTCTTTCAGCTACTCAAAAGGAATTTCCTTGAGAATCAGCTCACTCAATCTTCTGACTTATCACTGTAAGACTTTTTTTGTATAGATTTTTATCTCTTGTGGAGCGCACGAAATAACATTCCTATAATGTTCGAAGACCATCATGCATATTATTAGTTTTGGGATGTTTTGGCGGCTCGGTGGTCGAGAGCGTTAAGGCGCTGACTAGTTAGGCCATGGATGTTTGTGTTTGTATGTATACCTAACCCCGCACAAGTTTAGACTTATGGGGCGTTTGGTCCCAGTGCTGGGACTAACGAGGTATGCAATTGCGAAAAAAAAAGTTAATATCAATTATGTAAATAGATGTGTATGTCGTGCAGTTCTTCCACAGATATTAAGAAATGTGTGGATACATTTCGGAAATTATGGTACTGAATGGTGAACCTTTCAAATTGCATTATTCGATAAGTAAAATATGCATATAGGTATCTAGAATATCCATCTTTATTCATCATTCGATCCAGGAAATTTTCGAAGTGGAGTCGGATAATACGATTGAATACTTTTGCTTGCACCAATCGTTTCTGTCTGGCTGTCTGTACAGAATTAGATTTGAACTAATACAATTCCGATTTCCCGCTGGGACAAGCTTGACATTATCCTATTTATTTACTCCAGAAATCAGGGTGGATTGAGAGTTATAAATGAAACATTTCTTCGATGGCATATAGATGGAAATAAGATAATCTGGTTGCCAAATACGAACATCAACAACATATTCATAAACAGGATGTTTCCCAACTATGCTACAATACGTCAGAGGGTGATTCGTTATGTCGTTTTGTATACATATATGTCCGCGGAGTTGTTTCGTAAGATACAGGTCTTTAAAGATTTCACCTCAGTTGCTTCCAAAACTCCTCTGAACTGATACGCAATAGAGTGGCTTTTTTGCTCGAAAAGAAAGCTAGATATGAAGATATTAAGAAATTGTTTTTCTAGTTGCTCAATCTGAAAGAATTGAAAAGCACAGAAAAAATCAGTGGCGTACCTACCTATTGTCTGTGGTGCCTACTGAGACGCCACTAGACAGTCAGTGCACTAGACCTCATAATACCAATATAGTTATTGTTAAATATGTGCCTTCTTATTTCAAATCATTGCACCAAATTTCAATCAAATCGTTTCAAGAATATATCTATATGATATTTTATAAACACCGGACGTAATATTATGTTCGTAGGAACTTGTTTTCTCAAAACGACCTAAAACCCACCTTTCGTACCCTGTATAGGCGATGCACTTCTCACGGTATCTAGTATTCGAAAGGCAGATCGCTGTTTTTTTCAGAGCAAACAAGGCATAATATGCATGTAATCGAATTCCATAAGGATATCAAATTTTAATTTGCTATCTTAGTGTTTGTCAAATGTTCTGATTCCACTACGGGTTTACGAAAATATCAATTTTGATCCACACTCCTACATAAATTCGGATTCATCGCTATTTCTATATCATTGCAAAATTCAGGCTATCCATATGATGCTGAAATATCACTTGTAACGAAGGGGTCTTGTACAAAATGCACTTATAACTGCATGTGATTAAATAATCCCTCATCAACATCACTGAATAAATAACAAGCGAATGTGGAAACATATCAACTATTGTAGGTATATCAATAACAATAACTGTTCACAAAATGTGTTAACAAAATGAAAAATAACGTTATCACTTTTTTTCCAGATACAGTTAGAATTTTTATGCTTGTATCGAGAGTGTACCCCAATATGCACTGTGTAGCATGTGAAATTCAGGTGTTTTATTCTATTCAGGTATTGGGCTACATGGCTGCCTATACTTCGATCACCCTGAACTTTATGCAAGAAAACTACAGCCTCCTCTATGTGGGAAGGACTCTCGATGGTGAAAGTTACTATGCTTGCAAGTACCTCTGGTGGGATTACGTCACAGAAACCGGCGAATTGATCATACTGATTTTCGGGATTCATCTGAGTTATGCCAGTAGGAACGCCAGAACGCAGTTTCATGTAAGTTGACATATACCAACCACTATACCACAAATAAAAAAAATACTCAATATTAAGGTGTCAGTGTCATACGAATATGGAAACAAGTTAACGGAATTATGAATAGTCCCGAAGGTCACACTGATATGATTAGTGCTATGTTACGAGATCCAATGTGATGAGAAGCCAATGACCAGTCAAATTTGCTTATTGAAGAGGTATCGAACATTCATTTTCTTGGTCTAGAACAGTTATTTCACATGAAAAATGAGATCCACTCTAGGGAATAATAGTTTATATGAAATATCATTGGAATGAAGTGTTAGACCAAAGATAAACAAAGGAGCTATAAGTGAGCCTATCGCTAGCCTCTCGGATTAGACAATGATGACATATTTGACAGTGATGGTTGACACTATTGCGGAATCTCTGCTGAGATTAAAAACATATGCCTGCAAATACTTGCGAAGGGCATTGATAAGGCCTCTCAGAAATTATGAATTTTGCTGCCAGGAAACTGATGAACTCTCAGGGAGCTTCAAATTTCCATCAGACCTCAATTTCAAATTAAGGGAGAGTTACAAAAGACCACCTAGGTATCTGTGAGGTTGCATATGGACTCCTCACCTTCTCACAATATGAGATCAACAATATTGCAGCACCATTCAATTTTATATAGGCGTGTGTGTTAAGTTACAAGTTATATATGAATACATGTTACATTGATGTATGTCTATTTCAAGTCAGTTGGATGGTCACGTTGACGTCACTCACCTAACGTTGATCTCGAAATGACGTCGAGAAGACGTCCAATCCAAGTTGGATCATGAATCATAAAAAACTTCTGGTGGTCCCTTGGGAGTCATGTCTATCCAATCATCTTTCAGCGGCACTATCAGAAGTACGCTTCTAGATCAGAATGAGATCATCTATGCGTATTTGTATCTGAAATTTTGTAGTCAGTGTCGGCGAGATGTGAGCAATGTACAGAATGTTGGCGAATAGAGCTTCAAGTACTTTGTTGATGGAAAAACACATATATAAATAATGTATTCCTTGGTACACAACAGTAGATCAAATAGAAAATTTTTGACAAATTAACTGTCCGGCAAATTTGTTCGTCACACCAACGTGATTTTCAGACGTCATCGACACGTCACTACAACGTCATGAAAGTAACGTTTTCAATCCAACTACACCAAATTGGTACGTTATACACCGACGTGATCCTTCGTCATCTGATATAGGTTCAACAGTCACACTCACATCAGCTATATCCATCTGGATTAATTCAAGTGTCTATTTACTAAATACACCAGTGGTGCAATTTGGAGGGGGCTAGGGGGCGCTAAGCCCCCCTTACCTCGCAATAAGCCCCCCCCCTAGAATAAATCAATAAATCATGATCAGCCATCGGTATACTATCGGTATACTATCCTGTATGAAACAGACATCTTTCCTCGTCCATATGTTGGTCTTGGAAGAGATTCTCACCATACCAAATATTTTATCCCAGTCACTTCAATCAACAACAACAACATTGGGAGGAGCAATTGGAGTTATAAAAGGCGTAATAACTACTTCAGAAGCAATGCGTTCCGATGACAGTTATGAGCACATACATGGCAAAATTAGTAACTTTGCGGCTCAGGTGGACGTGACCTTGGAACCTCCATCATCCAAGAGAAAAAAGAAGGCGTCAGTGAAACTGAAGGATTTTGTGGCTGACTCGACAGTTAGAGCTGCAGAAGGCGCAGATTCTCCAAATGATGCCGAATATTGGAGAGTCAATGTTTTTATAGGATTATTGATTCTGTGGTAGGGTTTTTGAAATCAAGATTCTCTGAGGAGAATCTTCGAATCGCGGCAGCTATAGACAAATTCTTCGCGCTTGTCTATGGAAGATCCACATATTTTACTAATCATTATGTAGAGTGTTTTAATCTTGAATAAAATTTCATGAAGGCTGAAATGACAGTTCTGAAAAAAAAATTAGCAAACAAAGAACAGGAAGCACAATATGACACTCAAAAATGAACTAAGGTTAGAAGTATTTCCATCAGTATATGTGCTTTTTCAAGTAGCAATAACATTGACAGTATCTTCTGCAACATGTGAAAGGTCCTTCTCCATAATGAGGTTAATTTTGAATTGGATATGGATTTCAGTGGGTCAAGAAAGATTCTTGTCACTTGGCCTATATTGATCTTAATACTGTAGTGGATAGATATGCGGCAAAAGAAAGAAAAATAAATTTGTCACGTTAGTTGAGTTAGTTTTAATAATTAATTGTTGATTATATTGAGCTATCTTCTGTTTATTGAAATTAATCATTTCTGATAACCTGATAACCTGGGGCAGTAGCCCTCTCGAAATGTCCGAGCTAGTTGCGCCCCTGAAATACACGAATAAAGTTATGACTTCAATCAATGTTTCGACTGATATATTACAAAATATAAGTTGATCAAGTGATTAATTGATAATTATTATGAACGTATAAACATTTCTTGAACAAACATGTACCAAATGAATCTGTGCAACTTTTTGTCATATCATGTATAGAAACCTTGTTTCCATTCTGTTCCGCATTATTTCCATCACATTCATCCCCTACGTTTGTCAGACTGATACGTTTTATAACATCATATACCAACGAATTTGAGGATTTACAGCAGAGAACATCTTGCGGAATAATCACGAATGCGCCGGAAATTTTCAGTGCCAGCAAACTGAAACTTCAACATCATTTTACGACGGCTGGCATTATATTCATTCCAGTTTATCAGGGCTTCCCGAAATTTTGAGGTTTACATATACTGATATAACAGCGAGCTAGCAGCTATATAATATGCAATTTCCATATTTCGTAGAAGAGTTTGTTCAAACAATTTCAGATTCTAAAGTTGGTGCAATTAATTGTGGAAGAAATTTCGGAAAGTATCGTTGAGTATAGACTATGGCTTTCGTGAAGGGAGGAGGCATTGTCAAGAAATCGATTATTAATAATTCAGAAGTGAGATAATCAGACGATTCTCGTGGGAGTGGAAATGAATCATTACTTGTGATTAGTCAAATGACAAGTGAATCGATATAATAATTTGATGATGATAATATGGTCTCAGCTAACACGTGGATGTCAAATGAAATTTGCTTCGTCATACTACCCATATTTAGGGTGTCACAAAATTGCTGGGACTCAGAGCTACTTCGTGTAATACAAGTCAAAATAAGTTGATTAGACCCCCTTTATTTATATAACAAAATGTATCGTTTGTCCGTGAGAAGATTTCAAAGATCCATCAAAACGTTCTACTAGAAAATGAGGAATTCATAATCTTGGTCGTCCTATCGACATTCATATTGTTTAATGGTTTGATATTTTTCATTTCAATGAATATAATTCGATTTATAAAAAAGGGTTGTTGATCGTTTTTTTTACAAAGGGAAAAAGTCTGATTCAGCCCGTCATTTCGGTTTTTCTGAAAACACGTTCTCAATCACTGTATTTAGAAGGCTGTCTTTCATCAGATGTTAGTTCACATGTACTTTCCATCTTAGAATCACAAAAAAAATCAAAATTTGGTCACATACTTGAAGGACACCCTTTATATATAAACTAAGAATAATAGTCATGAACCATAACCTTCGATAGGAAAATGATTGTGTTGAGTTGTTAGGATTGAGCCTCAATCATAATCTGATTTGGACTTTCTATACCAAATACCAACTGTATTGGATATTGAGGAGCTAAGTATTCTTGATACTATATTTCATCCCAAGCTACTAGGGTTTTGGGCCTGTTTTAGTGAACAACTCTATTCAATTTTTTTTACGTACTGAATCAAAATAGTTCAGTATCACAAACCGTTCTCTCCTCGTAGTTCCATATATACAATGTAGGGAGAGAGGATATTGGTATTGGACTTCACCATCACTTTATATTTATCAATGTCCAATTCTGATTCAGAGAAAATCACGAAGATTCACTTCCCAATTTCACTGAAACAACATCATGAATAGTTCATTGCAAAATCCTAGATTCAGATCAACAAGGTATTCCAAGAGCACGCATGAATGTTGGACTATTCACAAGAATACCACATTGCAGGAATCTACCAATTATGGAATTCCAAGGAAATGTATAACTTATTATTCACTAAAAGTTTCATTCGTACCTTCTATCGAGATGAGAAAATATGTTTCTATATAGATTCAAGTGGAAATGAACTGAAGAGGCCTGATCGTTTGTGTTTGCTCTACCTGCTAAACTTGATTTTTCCATATGACTTTCTCTGTTTACATTGAATCATAAACAGAGAAAACTATGGGAACGAAATCAACTTCAGCAAGTTCAGTAACAGAAACGAGCAGACCTATAGTGATAATAATCAATCTCACTGCTGCTCACTGCAGTTCAATTGGTTAAAAGTTCATACATTGTACTGGCACAATACTGGTTCGTGTCGAATATCAGTTTGGGCAAGGACATGTTTTAATATTTGATTTACGAATTGAATATTGCAAAGTTTCGGAGCATCGGCTGGTAATAGTCCTGCACGATTGACTGTTGCGTTCCAATTATAACAGTGCTGCTCCTAAAGTGGCGCATGGAGTTGGTGATGTGGTTGTGAGCATCAGAAAAATAGTAGGACGATGTATGTAGGTGGGTGTGAAAAACTACCAGCTGAGCGTGACAGCGGGCCAATGATGCTTATAAGTGGGCCTCAAATGGGGTAATACTAGCCTACAAATTACAATCGAAATACTCTCAAAAGATAGCCAATGGACGGTACCTGAAAAGGGTGTTAGCCAGCTCTCTTAACCGAACAACATTCCTCATTACGTACATTAGGGCTTGCAAAAAGGTCCTATTAGAAACTAACTGTCGACGTGCAAACGTCCCTCACTCCTACCAGTACCAGTAATACATCGTAATAAACACAAAAGATCACTCTGATCGAATTGTGGAAAGGCTATGAGGGACCCAGTAGCCCCTTATTCAACTTACTAGCTTGGCTCTT